GAGCCGTTCCCCTAGTTGAGCAGCTAGCAGGATAATCAAGCTTAGCCAGGAGCGGGAAGAATTTACGACTGTTGACAATGTGTACGAAAGTTGCGTCACTTTTTACAGCTGCCCAGAAATGAAACGACGTGTGAAAGTTACTGACAGGGGAGATTGGGGATATACTCGTATGTTTACTCAGGGAGTGGGTTGCTGGGGAATCCGGAGCATCGCATCCACACTAAATTTATGCAGACTGCTTGGGAATTTACAACTATTTTTATGAAGCCAAGCGGGTGTCCTTGGACACAACACGAACAACTTTACGACAGCAACACGCCCGAATATCCTAAAAGGATAACTATAGCCGGAGCACACACACATATACAATATAAAAAAAAAGAACTTTAAAAACGACATGCCAAGAAACGAGCTGGAACCAGTACTTTCGTCCCCAAAAAGGATTAGGAAATTGATTTCGAATCAATCAATGTGCATATATAATATATATGTGCAGGAGATATTTCGATAGCTGACAATTTTATTAAAACTTTTATAGGAATGTCAAAGGTACCAATTCGTTTTGCTGCAAAGAAATACGAATACTCTAAATAGCTTGGCAGTATGTTTAAATGCTTAAAATTGGCCAAAAGTTATACACCTAGGAGAATTGATTCTAACACTTAGGAATATACGAGTTAAGCAGCTTGCAATACGAATTAGTCTCTTGTTTATTAAATTTGCTGAATTCATTTATTTAATTTGCGAGTGTCTAGTACGTAATTTCTCTTCCCCAGTTAAACTGCATCATATTTTCTGTGATTTTTGCTTTCTACTTGCCATAAAAGCGATTGGATTGCCCATAAAAAAAATATACCACATCGGCAAATAAAATCAAGTACTGGAATATGGTTTTCTGGTATAAAAAGTGGTTTAAGGAGCTCTGGTCCACTCGCATACTGCCCTCTGCTGAGCCCCCAAAAAATTTGTACACATTTAGACACGCATGCAAATGGCAAATTCGTCAGTTCGTCAAATTAAGGCATTTGTATGCCCGGCCAGGTTCTGACTCCCTTTTTCATTTTCCCACCCATTTTCCAACAGGCTTTCCAAACCACCAAAGCTGTGCACTCGCAAAAAAAAAAAGGATATGTTCTCTTTCATCACGAAGCTGACCAGCATTATTTTCGAATACATTGTATAATAATTCTTCTTTCATATTATTTGCCAGTGTAATAATTTTGGCTGTGCTCTAGACGCTTTTTTGTTTTGATTACGAGGCCATTTGTGACAGCCTTTTGGGAGACAAGATTCAGCGACATTATGATGAGGCCAAGTCAGAGTCGAAACATGTCACAATGTACCTCGTAAGAATGGGCAATCTGTGGGCCAAAGTAGCTGGAACATAGCTCGTTTTTATTATCTTGCAAAATATGCTATATGATTTAGTTAGGCAGTTGGGCAGTGGAACTAAAAGTATCATTTGTATGGGAACTGTGAAAATAAATTGCTTTCTCAGAATCGAGAAAATTCTGCAGCAACTTTGGGAAATATTTTTTATCGAAGAGTGCATTTCAAGTGCTTCAGCTTGAATAATATAGATGCATCCACTCAAAATTGTAGCTATGCCAGCAGTGGTAGTCCCCGTTACTTTAGGGAAAATCCCTAAAATGCAGCCGAAAGCCGCTTTAATTGTGTTTCATGGGCCATGATGGTTGGGCTTGGCCAAAATGCCATTAATTTCGACCCAAAAACATGGCCATAGAAACATAGCCAGAAGAGAGCAGTTCACATCAGCTCGATCTATTAATAGAGGGTGAAAGGGGGTGAGGCTTGGGTTATTGATTTTCAGTCAGCCGCAAACAAATGTGGTTTACCTGAGTAAAAAACAAAAAAAAAAAAAAAGACAAAGAAAAAGCGATGGATATTGTTTGCCTCGTGTGGTGGGTTTGCGCACTAAAATAGACCAATGAAAAGGGGAAAATGTGTGGACGTGCAGGTGTTAATTTTAAATTATTGACAAAAATGCCGGGCTTTACCTTCTCAATTAGGATATCGTTCAAAAATAATTCCTTCTAGCAAGCTCATGACATTACATTTAATTGCACATTAAGCGATATAAAATATTTAATCAAATAATTAAATCTAAATAATGCACAGACCGCCGACTAAAATGTTAAAACAAGTTTATTATTCATTCACGGTCGACTAGCCTACATAACGGAGACCTTGGGGCTCGCTTAATAGATTAATTCAATAATAATTATGACTATTAGCCTTTTGGGCATGCTACTACATGCAAATTAGTAAATATGTATATGCTACAAATTTAAATGACTGTATTGTATTGTTGTATTCATATTCGTTTTAATTACACGTACTCTCTAATGAAGTCAACGAATTGAATTACCAAGGTGCTTTTCGTATCTCCAATTTTAACCTTATCCCTGTAAGAAGGGAGGTGATTTGATTGTGAAAAATGTCTGAGGAGGTGGGAGAATAGGTAAATTGAAGGGAGCAAATGCCAATTTCACCTGCAACTGTTGGTATCTTTGTGGCATTAGTCCGTGGTCTGGTCTGCGGAATTGCGTGCATTTAAATGTTCTAAAAACTATACATCTAAAATAATACAAAAGAACCTTCGACATTTGGTCTGCTTACCATTCTGACCCATCGACGTGCAAGGAAAAAGTGTCGGAAAAGCGGCAAAGTTAACGGATTAACGTGTTGGCAAATAATTGTATTGTTATTTCTAAGAAACGGGATCACTAATAACTGAAATGGGCAAAATATAAAAATATACATGGTTAAATATTTAAATTTCTTGCAATTTATTAACTAAAAGAGACGTGTTTAAAATATTTCATTAACTTCATAAGTACACCTGACTGACTCATTCCATAAAACCATTGCTAAGTCCCCTTAATTCTCCGTATCCCTGGAATCGTTTCTTTTCTAATTCCATTAAATGTGGCAGAGATTAGTCGGGTCTAAGTCCACTGATGATAAGCAGTTGTAAATGTCGCAATCGCTGTCAAATTGCTGTGGAGACCGAAAGATTGATGATGTTGACTAAGAGAATGGCGGTGATATAGGGGGGAATAATTAGACCAGCTGAAAGTTATTCAACCTCTTTTTCCCCGAAATGCTGGACATGCCGTAGTCCTATCGCATTGAAGCCAAGTCAGTGCGGATAGCCTGGAAAATTGGTCCTTATTGTATTGAAGTCGGCTTTTTGGGTCAGCATTTGATTGATGCATAGGAGAGGAGCGATGCTAATTGATTGATTGACATCGATTGAAATGCCTGGATAATTGTAGTCACCTTACCCAGAGTTTCGAAATTTGGCGACAAATATTCTGGGCGAAAATGAAAATCTCAGTGAGTGTTTCTGGCCAAAAAAACTAAAGGTTATAGAGACACAAACATACACTGAGTGGCACAATTAGGACGCAATTCAAACAGCCAGCAGACATGTCAAAAGTTCCTTTATTGGTTTAGCACATTCAGGAAATCGAAAAGGCAATGACAGCAAAGAAGCATAACAAAACAGGACAAGAAAAAAAACAAGGAAATCCTGATAAAAAAATAACCTACAACTGAACTTAGATAAGGGTGTATTCTTATGTTGGCCAAGGTTAGATTTGCATCGTTGCTAAGAAATTCTTAATAAATTTAGTTACAAGAATATACCAACGAGGTATGATTAGATTACAGATGCAATTTTAGATGTAAATAACAAATATCCCAAAAACTGAAAACATTATTAACATTCCAGCTGTTGAAGGGGATTGAAAATTTTCGAAAACCAACGCAGGTCAGAGGATATTTCTCTATCCATCTCCTATCCTCCACTTCCGTTCCCCCTACTTTTCTCCCCTATATCCGCCTGTCTGTCTATTTGTCTGTCGGCGTGTCTTTTGCCTGTCTGCGTTGGCATGTACACAACATGTGGGCTTTGTGTCTGCACCGAGAGAAATTGGCTTTGGTTTTAGTGAAACTTTTCAACATTATACTGTACATTTGACTGTCACCAAATCGATTATTAACGCTCTTCGGTATATATCAAGAGAAGACGTTTTCTTCAACCGAAATATTTCAAATATTCATTTACGTGCTCGATTGTTAACAAATATTTTCCAAGTGAAGAGATGCCGATGTCGTGTCCGCCTGTCTGTTTTCTGTCTTGGCCAGCACGCAGAGTCCTGACCACACCTACGACCTGACCACGCCCACCACAAACGCCCCCCCTTTAGGTTGGCAAAAAGCAGAAGGACGAACCCAGTAAAACCGAAAGAAAAACAACATTCTACCAACTGATTAAATTTATGCGCCCTTTGCATACGAATTCGGAAGGCAAGCCAGAGAAAAAACCAAATTAGCCAAAGCAATTTGGCCAGAAGTACGAGGGAAGTGGAACGAGCTAAACTAATTGTTTCTCGCAGGACCTTTTTCTTAGAAGACTTTAAACAGCCTCAAGTGTAACTTAACTTTAGACAACAGAACTTCTGTGGGATTGCCAATAAGGGTGGTCTTGAAGTTTAGTTAATTTTACTCAGCGATATAGGGACTGAACAATATTAAAATGAACACAGTCCATTTCGAACTAGAAGATTTTCTGTTTAGATTTTGGGACCCAAGCAGTGTTCATCATATTTCCACATCTCGTGAAATTTCGAATAATAAATAAACTTTTTTTTGCGCTCGTATTGCTGATGGGTTTCGATGGTCGAGGTCTCCGATTCGGTTTGGCAATGGGAATGAGTAGTACTGCATATGGAAGGGACAGCTTGATGGCTTTTGCCTTTTGCTTGCGTGGTCTTTCAACTTGTTGCTTTTTTAATTACAGGCCATGCGGGGTGGGTATGAGTTCAGTTCTGAGCGCAACTTTACCCTTTCACCCTTGGAGCAACAACAAAAGCAATCAGGCTAACCGATTCAATGCACTTGAATTAAAGCCATGGGCTCTACCTCCCAATTTCCTTGCAACAAAACACAAATAAATTTGAAGCGCTTTAGAATATTTGTCATGCAATTACTATAGCCGGGAATTTATTAAATTGCCAATCCGTGGATCAACAGAGAGTTTTGGAAACTAAAAAAAAAAGTTTTGAAAGTCCGGTCTAGGCCGGAGTGGATTGGAGAGGATTATCCCCCCAATCCCCCCAACATTCGGCCACCAGTCTAACCCCTGTTGCGCCTGCGCTGGGGGCTCCTGCGCTGGGGGCTCCTGCGCTGAGGGCGCCTGCGTGCGTTAGCTGTACGTCTCCTGCGGGCGGCAGCAGCACGTCTCCTGCGTGCGGCACGCCTCCTGCGCGCGGCACGCCTCCTCCTGGCGGCAGCCTTCTTCTTCTTCTTAGCGGAGCTGGAGGACGAGCCGCTGGAACTGGTTCCCGAATTGCTACTGCTGCTGCTGGCTTCGGTGGTTTGAGGGGAGGAGGATGAGGAGGTGGTTTGCGGGGAGGAGGATGAGGCGGTGGTGGCTTCGGTGCTGGTGGTGCTACCCGCTTCGGTGCTGCTGGTGCTACCCGCTTCGGTGCTGCTGGTGCTACTCACTTCGGTGCTGGTGGCACAGATCAGTACGACTGCAAAGAGCAGCCAGTGGAGCTTCATTTTGGGGCAATGGTATTCGAAAGACTGGATGATCTATTGCCACCTCCGTTTACCCTATTTATAGGTACCAATGTACCACTCTGCGACATTGAGGCCTTACAATGTCAACTAAGCAACATGCGTTAGAACAAATTCGGGGTTTTTTTTATTGACACTCGCTGTTTCAGAGTTATTTACACAAATGGCGACTATTTATCCAGACAAATGACGCAATTATATTAGACAAGCATACGCCAACATATTGCGCATTGCGTATATATTTTAGTAATTTTGTTTTACGGGCAATCGTTATTCATCAATATTGCAATCATATTCATTGATTACATTTAATTTCTGTCAAAGTTGGGTGTGACTAAAAATAAAGGCGTAAATAAAAACGAAAAGACCAATTTTTCGCGGCATTGAATGTGAACTTAGCTTGGAAGTAAACAATGTTATATTAGAAGAATTGAACGTTTCGAACTGCCACATACAATGTTTTAAAGTTGTTTTTAAATTTTGTACAAACATTGGCATATAAATATTTCAAGTCACAAATATCGCCCAACCAAGTTAACTCGCAATTCAATTAAGCTGATGAAAAATGAGACTCATTCAATTGTATCTGAATAATTCAGTAAGCTCGCCATTTCTTCCCAGACTTATAACTTCTTTGAAGAAAGCAATTAAATATTTAGCTGCAGCTCCTGTGCACTTTTAGTAATTATTCGTTGCAAAAATGGTGGAAACGGAAGTGAAAACATGAGGAAATGCGGAAAATTGTACTGGATATTCCTCACTGGATAAACTCAGCAATGCATTTTGACTTTAACGTGTGGCCAACAACTGTTGTGGGTTGCTGGGGCTGTTGGATTTCCATCAATTAGAATCAATCAATCAACGTGCATAATTAAACTGCTCATTAGGCCAAAAGTAACGCTGGCAATCCACCACAGGCGGTCTCACATTCCACTGACGGCTTGAAAATTAAGTGAAATGGCCACATTGCACTCACTGCCTGGATAAATCAAACTAACTCCCATTCCCAAGTCCACGACATATGCGTCCACTTGTCGCATTTTCCTGCTCATGCTAGTTGGTTTGCATTCTCGCACTTGCGTATTTAATTTGTACAAACAAACGCTCACACACTGCAAAGGGGAAATTCCATGCTTGCATTTACGAATTCTTTGTTTGTTGATTGGCAAATGGCAAATTACATCGGCGATCGTTTTGCACAATATGAAAGAAATAGTTCTTAACCATAGATTTCTCATTACAATTTAAGTGAAATATGCCAATTGTTGTGTAATTTATTTGATTTAAGTCCCCGACTTTGCCTTCAATCGTTTGTTTATTAATTCCGTAGGCGCAGCACATTTTGTCCATTTTGGGGGCCAGTCAATGATGTCGCATTCTCAGCAAGTCAGTGTTTTCATTGTGATCCATTGTGAGGGACTTCCCAGCAAAATTAATGGCATACGCTTATTTGTTTTGTTCTTTGTGTTCTTTTTTTTTTTTTTTTTTGCAGAGGAACAAACGGGAACTGCAGTTTGCTGAGTAACTTTGTATGTAGCTTGAATACACATAAAAAATCGTAGATATATACCAGCATATTTTAATTATAAACATTATTTATTATCTTTTTAATATATGAATCTTACCTATAAAACCACTAATTCTTCAAATTACTTAACTACTCTATTCGGTGTATTGTAACGAATTTGTCTACCCTGCCCCTGGGCATTGGAAGTCTCATATCAAGACCCAAACACACACACGCACACGTGCGAGAGGGCAAAGGTCGGTGGGGAATTTCGAGGATGTGGCAAAAGGATACGACGGATGTGGGCCGTCGATGTTCGAATGCGTATGGCTGCATCCCTGGAGCAGATCTCGAATTATTTGCCATCAAAACGCTATTGATTTATTAATGCCGGTCATCATTCAACAACTCGAGGAAGTTTCCCGAGTGGAAATACCCTCCCGCATTGTACACATTAATTTTGCAAATGTCTCAATAAAAATCAATAACAAATATACGTATGTACGTACATTTTGCTTTTCGGCTCAATCCGGGAGGACTGTGTAACAAAAAAGCTCGTTTGCCAGCAAAATAAAAATAACACATATGATTGAGGACTTGTCTTTCGATTTGTTGAAATTGCAGAATGTATTTTCTTGATTTAAGCTATATTTTCATGATTTAGTTGGATCAAAAACTGTTGTAGTAATATTCGATTTTCATATGTATTCGATGTGTTAAAGTCTGCTCAACGTTTTTGCTGAGTTTTGGGAGACTCTGACTTTTCTCAGTATTTTAGAATGGATGCAAAAACCGTGAGATTATTCTTGCATATCCAAAGGGTTTCTTTTTCAATCAGTCCGCAAACTATGCTTTAGTATCAAAACAATAATTAATGGCGGAATGACAACTCTTAAGTTTTTACTCAAGTGGAGTTTAATCTGCCTGTTGTTTGTTCAGTGGTCTTCGTGCTCCAAATATTCTGAGCACCACCTGACGCCTCTTTTGTTATGAAATTCGTGGTTGTTGTTTTCGTTGACGGTTTTTTCTCTTTATGTTTTTCCTCACACATATTGTACACACAAATGTGTGTGTGTGTGAGTGTGTGGTATCTATGGCAACACATTTTTCACATTCCCTTTCACTTTTTTGGGCTGAAAAGTTTTTGCTTACCAGTATTTTGCCGCTTGCACAAATTTTCCTTTTGGGGCTTTTGCGGGTTTCCCCGAGTTCGGTTTTGTGCTAATGGATTTCAATGGAAACGCAACTTTTGAGGCCCAGAAAAGCCTTGTCGAATAAATGTTTAATGCTCGTCTGCATTTTAATCAACTTATTAAAAAGGATTGCCGATTTGGCATTGACAGTCAGATGTTTACGTTGGCCCATTGATCGTAAATGAAATGCTTCACCTGAAAATATTATTCCGAATAGGATTCCCAATGTTTAAACAATTGCGCAAAAACAAGTACATAGTTGCTAGTTTTAGTTGCTTCTGCCGGCCACCACCACCACTACTTCCGCTGCGGTTTTCCTTTTGGTCCTGGATCTCCTATTCTTCCGATCTGCGATTTTTACTGCTGCGACTCTTAGAACCCCTCCTCCTCTTGATTTTCCTGACCTTCCTGGGCGTCTTGATCTTCCGCTGAAAGTGCGTGACAGTCTTCTTCTTCCCACTGCTGGTGGCCGAAGCGGAAGTAGTGGTGGTGGCAGCCGAGGCAGACGTGGTCGTGGGGGAGGAGGCTGCCTCCGACTGGTGGATCATCACACAGTTTTGTCAACTGTTACTCGGCTTTTGAGTAAATGAATATGATGATAATTAATCTATATACGATAAAGGCGTTGTAAAAGCGTAAGAAACATTTTATTTTCAATTATTTTCATAGTTTATAGGATTAGCAATATTTTTCGATTATAAGGCAAATATAAAAATCAAAAAAAAAAGTATTTTTATTTTGTTAGGCTCGTATATTTTTTCAAATCAGTTTGAAAGGTTTTTTGTTGACAGATTAAGTTCAAATTTGTTATATATAATGTGTGTGTATAATTATGTGTATTTAACTTAATTAAAGTCTTGCAATGATTTTCCACTCAAATGTCATTTTCCATATAGAAAAATGAATGAGCCATCTTAAACGTGTGGAACTTTGTTCACTGTTATAAGATCCAATAAACAATCTCCCCGCAAAAGTGTGCTACAAAAAGCAGCTGATGTGTTCTGTTTTTATATCACATTATTCTATTGAATAAACGAAAATAAAAATCAACTTAGTACATAAGACATAATTGGTTTACCTTAGTTTTTGTAGAATTCATGTTTGGACTTGGCAAATATCTGAATTAAAAAATTTGCTAAGCCCATGCTGGAGCATAAAGATTGCTACGTTTTCGAGATCAACTGCCATCGCTTACAAATGAATACTCCATTTGGACTATTGCAAATGGGTTTTCTGTCAATTGTTTACATATTTGACTTTTTCAGCTCGATTTGAATTTAATGCAAAAATGTATGCGCACTTTCTCTGTCACTTGTTCAAAGATGCTTTGGCTTTCTGACGTAGTATAAACTTAGCTGATCTGAAAACTTATTTACGATAAAATACCAATTTAAAACCACTTTGGCCTTTCCCAAAAGGCTGTTTAAATAGTAATAGGCTGATGGTAGTTCAATGTTCTTTTTTCAATCTATTTCAATCTATTCATTAATAATATATTTACCCTTTAAATATGTTGCTTGCTTGAGATTTTTCAAGTTGATCGCACAGTTAAATACAATCCAAACTCACAAAAGCACGATCATATTTTTCATCATGACGTTCCAATCCTTCCTTATGTGAACTTCACATGTAGACTGAATTAAACAAATATTCGCAGAAGTAATATTTTAAATGCACAACGCTTTATTGAAGGCTATTTCACATACAAACAAATTAACAAAAAGGAAACTTAAGCCTACTTTCAATACTGAAAGTAGTCATGCTTCTGGAAGTCGGTGAAGGAGTCGATGTAGTCCTCCGGATGATAGTCAATGCTTTGGTAAGCGACATCAGGCTCCGTAAAGTCCTCGACCTTATAAAAAATCTTGCAGACGAGCAGCCAGGGCAGGACTATTAGCAGCAGTTTCCATTCCATTATCTCTCGCCCAAAATAACAGCGGTTTCTCCGATGACCAACGAGGTACTAATTAAGAGGAAGCTAAAGTGGATAAAGTTTCCATATAGCCACATAGCTATCTATATAGCCACATAGCCAGGATGTGGGTCAGTTTGTGCAGCTGGCTTCTGTCCCTGGCAAGCTCAAATATGTGACTAACCCACTTTCATTCGCACAGCCAGCCAGGTGGAATACTTTCAGGCGGGAGAACAAGTCGAAAATGGGGAATGGGAAAGTAAGTTCTATTTTTGGGGGGAACGATAATTATGGTCAAGTCGAAATGCGAATTTATACGCTAATTGACAAAGAAGTGCGTTAAAAGTAATGGAATATTAACCAAAAATGTCATGTAGAAAATATTGGAGAGAAAATTTCAGTTAAATAAATGCATTGTTAAGTATTGGCGCCAAATAAATGAACTTTTTGTGCTTAATATTATATTGTTACTTAGTAACTTAAATTCCTTATTTATTTAGAATAAACTATATTCATAGGTAATGTTTTCTAATGCGCTATTTTTTCTTATTTTTTTCTTTACAGACCTCGGCTTGATAAATAAAAATGCTTTACCCCTACAGATAGCTCCCAATCGAAGTGGGAATGATGCGATTGGCGCGTTTTACGCAGGGTTTCTCGCTTAACAAGAATGTGGCCAAGGTGGAGGGGAAATACGATTAACAACAGCCGTTTAAATGCTATTTTCTTAAGTTTAATAGTTTGGTTTTCGCTACGAAATATACAATAGAACACATTTAAATCCGAGGCGAAATCATTGAACAAGTTTTCACTTGATTCAAGAATTGTATATATTGTGACCTAACCACTCTTATTTATTAACCATAGCCAAAAGAAAAAAAAACAAAGGTATTGATATTGAATTTGGTTTCCTTGCATTTTTAGCATCGCGGCAGTGGCAGTAGCAACGGCGGTAACGGCACCGGAAACGGAAGCGGAAGCGGGACCGGAAACGGCCAGGGATTAGGTGGCAGCTGCAGTGCCAACGGCCTGGCAGCCAGTGGCGGCGTTGGAGGGGGCGGTGGGAGTGGCAGCGGCGGCGGTGGGTGTGGCAGCGGGAGTGGCAGTGGGAGTGGCAAGCGGAAATCAAAGGCAAGAACAAAGTGCTTCGGTGGCACAGTGTTTCGGTGTTGCCTCCCTTGTCGCGGGGGCGGCTCCGCAGCCCCCGCCACAAGTCCGCCCCAAACACCAGCCCAAACGCCGGACGAGCTCAAGGCCATCCCGGAGGATAGTTATCTGGATAAGTCCGCGGAGCAAAAGCGCGATTTACAGGAGCGGAACAACAAGGACGAGGACGATCTGCTGAACCGCACCGGATCCGGATCTCAGCTGGATATTTACGGCGACATCGGCGGCGGTACGAAGAAGCATTCGCTGGCAGACACCATCGACACATCGGTGACCACCCCGATCTCCCTTAAGACCCTGATCAACGACGTCGAGGAGGAGCTGGACCATCAGCTGAGTGCAGCAGATATTGCAGCTGCCAGTTTGGCCAGCGGTCTGGTTGCCCGCCGAGCGGAACCAGAAACCCTGAGCGACGCCAGTGTCTCACCCACCGCGGTGGTGCAGCAGCAACAGCAGCAGCAGCAGCTGCAGCAACCACTCTTGCAAACACAACCAAATTTTGTGCCCAGCAGCGGCAACATCCTCAGCCAGGTCACCCTCTACAGCGGCAGCAATCCCTCCACGAATCCCTGCCAGAGTGCGGTGCAAAATCAAGGCCAAAACTCCAATACCAATCAAAATCCCAATCAGACTCCAAACTCAAACCCGAACCAGAATCAACAGCGTTGCAGTTGCCAGCCGCAGACTTCCCCGTTGCCGCATATCAAGGAGGAAGAGGAGTCCGATCAGGCCAACTTTAAACACCAGTCGAGCCTGAAGGATTATCAGCCTCTGCCGCCGCCGATCACTATAGCAAGTGGCTACTGTGGCAGCTGCGAGAGCGTCCATCACTCGTCGGCCACCTCGTCTTCGGCGGGCACAGTGCCCACTGGGGGTCAGCAAGCTCAGGAGTACATTGCAGGTAGGTCGTTGGTCAACACACGGTGCTAACTGCACGAAAGAGAAATATAATCCAATTAAGTTGCAATATTGCAATACATATACCAAAGTAAATAACATTTAAAGCACAATTCATAGGGACATTCCTCTAATATTCCCTTAACGTAGCAATGCTGATGTACAAGTGCCTTGATTAATAAACTTTATTTTTCATTTGCGTATAGGTACCTCTTCCACACCCTCGCCGCGCATCAAACTAAAGTTCCGCAAGCCGCACAAGTCCTGCTGGTCGCGTATCGTCCTTGCGCCCATTGGTTCGGCGGGTGGCTCCTCATCGGCCACCACTGTCATTGGCAGCAACTCGAACGAGACCTTGGCCTCTAGCAGCACCACCGGCGGCACAGCCACCACCACCCAGAACAGCAGCAGCGTCAGCGTTGCCGCGCACCACCGTCTGACCTCGTCGTCGGCCTCCGCCCTCGCCACCTCGCACCCCAGCAACTCGCAGCTACTGCCCACCAGCAAGATGCAGGCGGAGCAGGGTTCCATTGGCGACCTGCAGAAGTACCACAGTCGGTACCTCAAGAATCGTCGCCATACTCTGGCCAACGTTCGGTAAGTTCTCATATATGTTGCCACCCATTTGGCCCATTTACATGCCTACAATAATAACATATTATGTATATACATATACATATACATAATATAATACAAAATATAAGAATACAAAATATTAAATGGTTGGTCTGCTTGGTCTTTTTAGCCAAGTTACGATGAAAAATCACTTTAAGAAACTAATTTTTGGAATTCGATTTCGAATTTCGATTTTCCGACCAAAAATAGTCTGTATTTTTTGACATACAAAAAATAATTATTATGGAATGTCATAGCTCGCCGAAATCGTTATAAAATTTCCAATCTTTTGCCATTCAAAGGAAAAAATTCTAATTTTTTCGAATTTTTTGCAAAAAGTCATATAAACATTTTTTTGGATTTCCGACCAAAAATGGTCAGTATTTTTGCCATAAAAAAATAATAATGGACCAAATATGGAATAGCTCGCCGAATTCGTTATAGAATTTCCAATCTTTTGGCATTTAAATAAAAAAATTATATTTTTTTCGATTTTTTTTCAAATAATCATGTATCATGCAATCATGTAACTTTTTAAAAAAATAAAAAATTAGAAAACAAATTTTTTTTTTTAACGAGCTAAAAAGTGATGTGAATCTTTAGATTTGGGCTTCAGTTAACCAAAGTTGTCTTTACTTTACATTTGTGATAACTCTTACCCCAGTTACCTTTTTTGGCGGGTAAAGATATAGGGTTAAAAGGATGTAGATAAAGATTTCGAAATGATCAGTATCTTCAGTGGAATATAATCTGCTTGAATAGCAGCTTAAGGAAAGCACTTTGAATGGAGTAGAATTAAAAGCTACAAAGCCTTTCGACTACCACGCAATTTACACACGCCCAGCCCTTTGAAGCTCTTAATCAGCGGAATTAAAATACAATGGAAACTTTTTGAGCGGGGGAATACAAAACAGTTGGCCTTCAAGTGGGTCGTCAGCAAAGTTGATTAGAGCGAAAGCCGCAACAAAAAATACAGTTTGGCGAGCTTTTCTAATTATTTCGCTGTTTCGCAATGTTTGTACAACTGTTTGCTTAAATTAACGTATCAAAAACCCCGACGTGACCCATGCGTAATGCAAACTGACTACGGTGGCAACCAATTTTAAGCGGACCAACTTAAAAGTTAGGCCAATGAAGTCAGCCAATTAGCGACTTACAATGAAATCAATTTGCAGTTAGTCAACTTAATCGAATTAGAAAAGTTAGAGTGACAGAAACTTTGAGTCACCGCAGGAAGTTGGCCAACGGAGAAAAGCTGTTGATTTTCATTTTCCCAGGACCAAAGTGTGCGTGCCTATGTGTGTGCCTGTGTGCGTGTGTGCGTGTGCGTGTGTGTGTGTGTGTGTGTGTGTGTGTGTGTGTGTGTGTTTGTGTTTGTGTCAGTTAAGCCTGAATAATCTATATAGCCTGGATAATTGAGTAGATTGTGGACGGTTTGAAAGCTCTAGCTTGAAAGCCAGACATCGATAAGTCATCGACACCTGTTGAGATTTTGATAGTCATTTTCCTTGACACTACACCACTACACACAACACTCCACACACCACATCACACCACTACACACAGCACAATGTTGTAAAAATATTGTTGCCTAGTTTGCAGCACATTCTATGTGCATTGTGTCCATAATATTTGTGATTTCAAATTGAAGCCCGTCGATGGGCAGCTTTTGTTCTCGTTTAGAGTGCACCGCGTATTTGTCTTGGTTCTTATGTCTGCCTTTGTTGAAAAGTGCTGACGTAATATTTATAGAATATTTCGCTTAGGGAAATACCTGTATTGTTACACTTTAAATGTATCTGTTTCAAATGAAAGCATTGTCATTAAACAGTCTTCAGTGTGTTTTTTTGCCCCCGAACTTATCGTGTTTACCTACAGGATTTGCTCAACCAGATTGCATTTGTTAGTTTCAAACGCTTTAGTCAGCATCATCGAAAAAAATACCGCGTTTTTTTGTGTGTTTTCGAAACCGGCCAGTACACCAATTAATTATTGAATCATGAAAAAAAAATTTATTATGCATATAGTCGTCATGTTGTTGTTATTTCAACCATTTTGGCCCTAACCACGCCTCCTGGCCTTGTTGTTCTTGCGTGTGTTGTTGTTGTTGTTGGATGTCCTTCTTCTTCTGTTGTTGTTGTTGTTGGGCGCCTTTTTCCTGTTGTTGTTGTTGTTGGACGCCCTTTTCCTGTTCTTGTTGTTGTTGTTGGATGCCCTCTTTTTGCGATTGTTGTTGCTGCTGGCCCTCTTTTTGCGATTGTTGTTGCTGCTGGCCCTCTTTGTGTTGTTGCTAGCTCGTTTCTTGTTGTTGTTTCTACCACGTTTCTTATTGTTGTTAGCCTTCTTTTTATTGGGCCCCCCTTTTACCACTGGAGCTGCATTAGCAGTGTCGTAATCCGCATCGGATCCAATATCAGAGTCATCCGCCGAGCCATCGTCGACATCGGTGCTACTGCCAGAATTATCATCCAAGGAATTGGGACTGCCCGTGACACTGGACTCCGTGGTTAAGGGTGTGGCGGATCCGGATGCGCCTGTATCCTCACCGGCTGTATCCTCACCGGCTGTATCTTCGTCAGCTGTATCCTCATCGGCTGTATCCTCATCGTAATCGCCGTCCGAATCCAAGTCGGCATCCGAGTCCGTATCGGCACTGGCCACCAGGGCTGTGAAAAGTCCCAGGCACACGAGGAGCAGCATTAACTTTGTCAACTTCATTTCGACACTTCTATCTGCTACCTAACTCTGAGCCATCCGATAATGCCTTGTCGCAATTTATAGTAGAAGCGCTAGACCATGTTTTATTTACGCAAGCGAATGCCAAAATGGAGTTAAATATGAAATCGCTTGGATAAAAGAAACGTTGAAAACAATAGAGCCGGTGATTGGTATCTCTGACGATGGCATTTGGCTGGCAACATGTGAACTTCTTTAGCAATTGGCGGGTACTACGAGTATGAAAGTCCTGCTTAACATATGAACAAGAATTCCCTCCTATGCTAACCATTTCCAGAAGTAATCAAATGAGTACCTCAAAATGATTTAGGCAAAACCATTTGATTTCTTACACACAAATAGCACACGTTGTTTTTCCACAATTCGATTCAGGCAAAAAAAAAAAATAAATAAATAAATAAAAACAAAACTACGATCAATATAGGACAGTCGAACAGCTGTGGTTAAGTAAACTCAAGTTGGTGCTCATATTAAGTTGGTTTAAGACAAGTCGACGGTCCAAAAATGGAAAACAGACCTTTCTATCCTGTAAATATTTGTGGAAGGCAAGTTCGAGGCACTGCCCTACACTCCGCAAAAATAAAATATTTATATTAATTATTGATTTCATATATTGATTTTGAAGGTATTAAATTTATATAAATTTGTTTATAAATTGTAATTTGTCCATAATTACAATTTGACAAGTTGATCAGTGCATTTGTTTCAGCCTCTCCCTGGGCTCACTAATATTTGTAGATAGGCTTACTTTTAGTTATCTCATATTAAACCACAGTAATTTTGTTGAGTGTATCTTAAATTGTTGAATGTATCGATGGCAAAATGCATTGGGTATATATAGGGAGCATCAAGCGGTATTGGATATCAAAATCAAGATGCGCTTGGTATTATTGGTTGCGTTATTAGTGGTGCTGGCTGCACTTTCACCGACATGTTGCACATGCCATAAAAATCCACGGCCTTGCAAAACGGAGGCACCGCCTTGTAAGACTGAGCGACCCCCTTGCAGAACTGAGCCACCCCCTTGCAGAACTGAGCCACCCACTTGCAGAACTGAGCCACCCACTTGCAGAACTGAGCCACCCACTTGCAAAACTGAGCCACCCACTTGCAGAACTGAGCCACCCACTTGCAGAACTGAGCAACCCACTCGCAGAACCAACGCACCAACTCGCAGAACCAACGCACCAACTCGCAGAACCAACGCACCCACTCGCAGAACCAACGCACCAACTCGCAGAACCAACGCACCCACTCGCAGAACCAACGCACCAACTCGCAGAACCAACGCACCCACTCGCAGAACTCAGCCATCTAAGGCTCCCTGTGAAAAGTCCACTAAGCGACCTCACGGTGGAAGAACCACCAAGCGTCATTCGTCTGGCAACCGAACCACCAAACGATCGCGAGCCACCAAAAAGATAGTTCGTCATCATCATGCGCCAACGAAATCAGGGTCGAAATGTGGGTGTATTTTGAAGCACCTGCTAACACCAAAGTGCCCCAACTCCAAACCGAAGCCCCAAGTCCCGTGCAAGTCCGCACCGAAGTGTAAACCCGAACCAAGACCTAAAAACCCAAAATCACCAAAATCACCTAAAAAGCCAAGGAATCCAAAGCCATGTGAATCCTCCAAGAAAAACGGAAAAGGGCAGAGGAAACCATGTGCCACCACCAAGAAATCGCGGAAGTCACAGCCAGGAAAGAAATGTTGCTAAGCAGCAAACTTGTTTCAGATGTCGTTGAATATGCATATAAATAAAAAAAACTTTTTTTTTTTTAATAGTATTACAAAGGTTTCGTATGTTTGAGAGGCGCGAAAAATGGAACATGTAACATTAAGCGAAACGCCATGCCCTTAGTGGTTTACGTAAATATGGTATGGAGCCCCATACTCGTATATTGTGTGCTTTATTGTGCGAATCGCTAGCCATTTCTGCTTGGGATGCCAGGGTTTCACCTGAAATTCTTTTGTTCGGCCCTCTTAACGGTCTGCGGGGGGAGGGGCAATGTAATTTATTTCCAGCCCACTAAACACAAATTACACATGCAATTGTCGCTGTCCAAGCGCCCTGAATGCTGACAATCCCACAGATCCCGTAGAACCGTAGAACCACATCCCACATCCCATCGCGTGCGTTAATGTTGCCCATCAAAGAGAGCACATATCTGCGTCTCTTTCCCGCCGGCGCTGGCCCTCTCTTTCTCTCCTTCTCTCTCTCGCTCTCGCTCTCTGTCGCACCCATTGTTTTTGCATTTTGCACGCCATTTTGTGTGGCCACAGCGGAAATGAACTTGCTGACAATGCAGTCAACGGTACACAAAGAAAATTTCCCTCCAAAAAGATTGACGAAAAACATCGGAAAATCTCTGTAAGGATAACAAATGTTGTTGTAATTTGTATCAATTTTTTGTATAATTTTATTTCTGTGTCCTTCCGTTAATTGAAGTGTTTTGATCCACTTTGTGCAGTGTACCAGCCCATCCACAAGTGTGCTGGTGTGCACTTCGTGTGTGTACGAGTGAGTGGAAAATGGTGTATTAATTTATCACGGTAGAACCCTTGAGGTGACTCGCACTCAATCATGCCAAGCGAATTCAAAAGAACACATTTTTAATTTCATTTAAGTTGTGACATTAATAACCAAGAACTATTTACGAGCAAAATGAAAATAAAAAAGACAATATATTTCCAAAAATTTTTATAAATTTAAAACTTCCAGTAAGGGTGCATATTTCTTTTAATTTTCGAGCGTCATTTCTTCACTTTTCGTTAGTGCGAATTATGACAATTAGGAAGCAATGATTCGATGGCATTTCGCCAAGAGCCCCCAAATTGCATACATGTGCATAAATTTTCCGCCATTTTAATTGCTACCATTTGATGGCAAATTCTTCTACTACAATTTGATTTACATAATCTTCTCCGATGGCAATCAACTGTTGCGCGCACAACCCTATGACCCCAACCCCCAAACCCCCAAAACCCCGAAACCCCAAACCCCAATACCCAGGCATGCATTATCCAACTCTTTTGTGACATTAGGGGTCTTGTGTTCGGGTTTTGAATTGGTATTGGGAATGAGGATTAGGAATGGGGACGTGAATATGGATGATGATGGGGATGGGGATGGGCTCTCTCACAATAATTCACGCCTGAGTGGAGCGGCGCTGTTGCTAGTCATTGAACTTCAGCGAAATGTGGGCAGTTGTGTGTCGGGTGAATATTATTTATAAATAAAGGAGAGGCCTCGAGCCTGGCCATCCTGAAATAACTCACAATTAATCAATAACCAAGCAAGTCTTGAGTGCTGGTCAATTTTCGGCAATTGAACATGGCATGCTAATAGGCAAAATCCAAGAAAATAATCCAAGCCAAATAAAATAAGCATGTATAAATTACATTGGCATTGTGTTTTTAATAAGTTAAGCTCATTAATATGCAGATAAAGTCTAACATCTGAAAACTGAACATCAAGTATACGCCATGTGACAGCTTTGAAATGTGCAAAAAAAGCTTTAGCATAAAAGCAACGCCACAAACTTTTCAAAAGCTTGATGAAAATGTTGCATTAGAATGCTCGCCATTATGAAAGCAAAACTTTTAACAAAAATAAGCTTTCACCATGACCAGATGCTACAAGTAGCAAGTAATTCAACCCATCGTAAACTTGTGGGCTTTCAAGCTCCTCTTCAAATAGCCCAGTGTATATCCTGTGATCCCCTGGCGAGAATCCCGAGAATCGAAAGGAAGTTGCCCTTGACATTTGCCACATACTGAGCGCAATCCCTGCACTTGACATCTTTGGCTGCAATAAGACATATCTAAAGACCTTGAGGTTCCTTTCTTAGCCTTTGACCACGAAGCCTGTCAGGAAAATGGAATCTTGCCTGGAAATGATACACAGTTGTGTTCGACTTAATAGGAGTACTAGAACTTTATGAATACCGCAGACAGATCTATAATTTTCATGTCATCTTGGGGCTAAAGCTAACAAAATACTTGCATTGTGGGATGCTGAAACATAGTAGTAGTAAATAATTCCAACTAATCTATTTCCAACAATCTCAGTCAATATGCACTACCTTCTGGCCAGTTAAATATAACTCTGAATGAATGAATATAACGAAATCGCCATTCAATTTGATCCAGTTCTAATACTCTGGACTCTGCTGTGCACAGTGCCCACTCGGTCTGGACCAAAGGCTACCCACCGGGGATGTGTGGGATATTCTAAGTCCGTTTGTGCCCACTTTTTGAGTGGACAGTGAGCACTGCGGTTGTCAGCTGCCAGGTAACTTGGCTAGTACAGGATGTTGTGGTCGGTAGTGCCTCCTGCCAAGTATTATTTTACAAAATCAAGTTCAAGTTTAACTTAACAGCAGCCTTGCACTTTGAGTAAACGGAGAAAGTGTACTGGCGTCAACAGCCGGAAATTGTTGCCGCTCATGTTTTATGTTAATCTGGAAAACAATTATACTACAATCTTCTTGAAGTTCTTCTTGGGGGTAAACTTAAACGCAGTTAGCGTGCACTCCACATACCCGTACATAAAAAAGTTTACTGGCATAAACTTTCCACATAAAATATAGTAGTTTTTAAAATGAATAAAGTCATGACTTTTATATATTTCTATGAGCATGCGAATATATCATTCATGACTCAATTATCTACGATTTCTATTTGTTTATCATCACTTAACATACGTAATGAAGTCTGAAGGTTGGGAAAATATATTACGTATTCCATATGAATTTCTTAAGAAATTCTTGAATGTACCTTACCTCGCCAACTGAATTAATAACAATTATTTTCTTTCCTTTCTTTCAGGTGAGTTTTTCATGTTTTGACAGCATTTTAATATCTATAATGCGCTGTATAAATCGTAAGTAAGGCAAATCACAACTAGTTGTCACATCTGCGTAAACAATTTATTGCAATTTTAAGAGCTAGTCCATGTTTTATTCATGTGCTTCAAGAAACCACCTGATGTGCTGTTATTTAAGTTAGCTATTAACTATTTAATGATGAAACCTTGTTGTTTTGTCCTTTATCAAGCACAAAGCTCTAAGTGAAAATTTGCCATTTACCGAAAAAAAAAGTAAAAAGAGGACATTGGCTGTGTTCATCAGGGACTCGGTGACTTTGCTTTAAATTTTCCAAGCCCTTTTGCGTTTCTCATGGATTCCCATGTGCATCGCTGAACTGTCAGCCCGTCAATAATTGAGGGCTTGAGGGCAGCGAGGGATAATGCCGTCGAATAGGCGTGGATGGGGTTAAAGGTCCTTTCTCGACATGTTCAATCAATTTAACTGGCATTTTCTATCGCCCTCCGCCGCGTATACTTATGAGTATGCAGTGGTGCATATAACCCCCATAAAAGAAAGCAATTATATCGAAAATGCTTCATTTTGCTGCGCCTGCAAAAACTAAATAATGCATGGACGGTGGGTGGGGGGCGGTGGATACATTCCTTTTTGTTTTTTGTTTCGAACATAACTAAGCCAATCAAAAGAAGTGCAATTGCAATCAATGAAGATGAAGCGAATCAGACATGTTATGCATATAAAGCAAGGTTTCACTGAGCAGATACGCCGACATTTTTGGCATATTGGCTGCTCAGGTGTTTGCCATCTTTTTATGTCAACAAATAACATTTTTTTTTCTGTATGCTGTTAAATAGTTTTGTGAAATATCGGTGTTGCTCGATGTACAAATACACACAGTGAACCTGTTAAATTTGCATACAACTGCAATTTAGCCAAATTTAAAACGAATCTAAGTGATGGATTTCACTCATTTAAAGAGCGTTGCGTTTATGTTTATGTTAAATATCACAATAATCTTGCATAATCGCTGAAGTTAGCTTAAGTTCATTACGAAACTTTGCCCAACTGGCCAAGTTAATTGCCATTAAACAAAATGAAACACTTGCACAAACTCAATTGAAACGGAAATAAAAGAAATGAAATGAAATGAAAGGAACAAGAGCCAACAAAGAAGGCAAACAATTTCGAATGGTGAAACAAACTGCATAACTTTAACTTCATAATGGAAGGTGGAAAATTGAAGGCGGAAGTGGGCCAGAGGCTGTGACAAACACACTTTCAATTTCTACTTGGCTAACTGGCTGGCTGGCTGGCTGGCTCGCAATTGCAATTGTATTATTTGATTTTGGATTCCCTGCTGCGGCTGCTAAATGTTTGCTAAGTTCGTTAATCATACGCCGCGTTGCCCATCTTCACAAAGGGTATGCAAACCAATGCATAAAGGTTACGTCCATTGTTGTCTACCGATGCCCGGGGGAATCCTTTCCACGGCATTTGGAATTAGGAGGCACCACTCCATCATAACACGAATACCATTACCATTTGCAGTTCCAACTGCAGTTTCGGCCATATTTCTAGTCTTTGCTCCCCCCCCACCATATTTTTCCGAGTTTTCCGTGAGATTTCAAAGCCCAGCTGGCGAACATGTTAGCCTAGTTCATCGCCAACCAACCAACCGACAACATGTTGGCTCGGTCCCGGGCTATTCGAACGGGCACAGTGCGTCAAGGCACAGGAAAACTAAAAAACAGAATTGGGACAACTAAAGTGAAAGTTATCTTTTAAAATATCAAAACAAAGTGATAAAAAGCAGTTACTTTCTAGGTGGAAAAAATGTCTGTACATGCCATATAATATAGACATGTAGTTTATAGTTCTTGAAAGAATC